ATGATCTAAAATCCATCGGAGTTAAAGCATGGAGAAAGTTGCCAGAGGCAGGGGCGAATGGAAGATTGTTCTGAAGAAGCCTTTGGCTCATGACGAGCTGTTATGCCACTGATATGATGAAATAACTATCCACGATTTGTGTTTTATTCATCAATTGGATACTTTTCTTATGTAACTGCAACCTATAAATATACCTATTAAAATAATGTATATTCCATTCAGAGAACATTTTCCTCGCAGTGCGTCGCCTAGAAATACTTGCCAGATAAATCATTTACTATTATGATGGTTTCGCAGGTACCAATTTTTTATAGATAAATAAAAATATTTTTTGTTTAATTTTTACTACGCTAATATCACTTTTCTCTAACAAATATTAACAAAATATTAATTATATATTAATATTAATATAACAAAATTTAAATTTATTATAAATAAACACCATGGTGTTTTTTGCAGTCACGTTTCACAAATTTTTATTTAATACTATGTTTAGCTAAGACATATAAATTAAAAATGTGATTAATTCTTTTTAAAACATTATCTACGATAATTAATCTAAAAAAAAGTATTCCGACAAAACTAATTTGAATGGAGAATAATGCATTTATTTTAAACAACCCGTGGGCCGGCGCCACTGAATAAACATCCAAACTATTAGGAAGTCACGTAGGGTCTGACATAGCAGTGTAGAAAAGTAAGTGATACGCCCACAAATCGCAGTATGCTATAACTGCGAAAACAGCCTTAACCTTGCAGCGAAAAGACGGCACTGGTTTCTATTAATTGTGTCAAATATCAATTAAATAACGTGTGGTGTTTACATTTTACCGGTTATTTGGTGTATTTCGTTAAAAATATGGCTTCTAAATCAAATCAAAATGACGTGACAACTAAATTTCGTCAAAAGTGGAAGAGGAGGTAAGTCTTTATACAAAAATATTCATAAGTTGTTATGTTTTTAGTCAGATTCTTTGTTTATTCATTCATTTAGAGCTTATATTACACTACTGTTTACATTTAGTGGTATATAGAATCACTTTGTGTTACCGAGGGTATTCAAAAATTAAGCGTATGAAAATTCATACGTTAGGATTTTATGAGCATTACTTTAGTTAGGCATTGTAATTTTATATTTGTTGTTTTTAGGAGACCACTCACTACCGAAGAGCTAATAGCGTGTCTGGAAGAGTCCGATAGTGACGATGAACTTGCTGGTGCACAATTAATAGACATTACATTGTTTCCTCCTGAAAACGACGAAGACACGGATATCGACGAAGTTCCAGAGGAAAAATACTAATAGCGTGAATTTATTGGGCCCTGGTCTACTAACAGAGTGCTCTCAGGTGGAAATAATTACACACGATCGTGAAAGGATGGAATTGAGTTTGGAACCCTTAACTTCAAAAATGAGAACAGGATCAGCAAAGAACATACCTAAGCCTAAAAAATTAAAAGTCGAAAAAACAAGACGTTCGTGGAAACCCTTGCATTTTGTAGAAGAGTTGTCAGAGGATTCTAATTTAAAAACAAAAAATAATTTCAAAATCGACCTCAAATCATAAATGATAATCATAAATGATAAATGCGTCGATAGTGAACTTCTGGTTATTATTTAGAAACATCGAGCCAAAAATCAAACAAATAGATTTCATTCGACAAATAGTAAATCCTATATTATCAACACCTAATCATCGTATTCCTACACCCCAAAGAACCTCAAGTGTCCTTGATGAAGTTCGATATGACAGACTTGATCATTGGCCGATCAAAAAAATCAAAGACAGAGACGGTGTGCAAGATGCAATAAATGCGTAACTTTTATTTGCAGCAAATGTAATGTTGGACTTCACATTAACTGTTTTAAATTGTACCACTTGAGATAAATTTATTTTGTTTATAATTTTAAGTTTTCTTTGTAAACTTTTATAAGTTCATTAGTTTCGTTTCTATTATTGTATAATTTCTAATAAAAACATGGTGTTGTGAAAGCCTAGCGTATGAATATTTAGACAGCTATTTACGACCACCTAGGTATATTTGAAACAAAAAAGCCTGAAGTATATTATATCTTAATCCATTTTATTGCTAAATTGAAAAGAAAAACATTTTTGAATAAGTTTTAAGGGGGTCAGGTTTTGAGGGGTTAACGTAGGTTTTCTTTGCCAAAATTAATATCCCAACTGATATTTCCAACTTTTTATTTAACCAAACAAATTTACAATACTATATTATTTCCGCCATTATAACAACTTCTCTCTACAACCTTACTCCGTTACTCCCCTTGTACATTGCCACTCGGGCAATGTTTATTAGTCTTACAGGTTGCAACTACACACTGTTGCAAGACTGACCTAAAAATCCTATATTATACAAAATGAAAAATCCCAAACACGTAAGACTAAAAAAATTTCCTCTTTTGAACGGTATAAAGATGTCATATAATTAAGTCTTATGGTTTTTGCGTAATTTACAATTATTTAAACTCTTCATCGGTATATTGATTTTAAAACAAAAGATACTTTTAGATAATGTCATTGTATGACATTGTCATTTTCTGACATTACGGTCTGGTAATTGTGAAAATATAAACATTCGTGTGTAAGATTTAACTTTCATTGTTCCTAAAAATGAAGAATTACGCTATCCATGAAAGAGTTGACATGGTACTTTGCATTGGAGAATGTTTCGAAAATTGTCTCTTAGCTTCTAAATTTTATGCTCAAAAGTATCCTGATAGAAGACACCCACACAAGGTAGTTTTTGAGAAATTGCTTAATAGATTCTTGCTATTGATAATGTTGCATACGAAAAGGTAAATAAAAATAAACCAGTTATTGGTAACAGCGTTTTCTGTTACGGAAAACCCAAATATTAGTACAAGAAAAATTTCGGGTGAATTAGAAATTAGTCAAACTAGTGTATGTAGAGTACTTAAGACTTTTCACTTTCATCCGTATCACATTCAACTTCACCAGCATTTGACAGAACAAGATTATGGTAACCGTTTAAATTTTTGTTTATGAACTTTAGATAAAGTTGGAGAATATCCTGATTTTTTTAGAAATGTATTATTTACAGACGAATCGACTTTTCATAATAATGGTCTAGTAAATAGACATAATTTTCATTATTATGACACAGAAAATAAACATTTATTTTGTACTGTTGATCGCCACACCGATGGAGTGTTAATGTTTGGGGTGGCATTATGGGCGAGTACGTTATCGGCCCGTATTTTTTTGACGCACATCTTAATGGGACAAATTTCCTAAATTTTTTAAAACAAGATTTTTGGACACTGCTAGAGAACCTTCCACTTAGTCTACGAACAAAAATGTGGCTCCAGTTGGACGGAGCTCCTGCTCATTTCTAACGTAATGTTAGGAACTACCTTAACAAAAAATTTACAAACAGATGGATAGGTAGAGGTGGTTCATATAATTGGCCCCCTAGGTCATAGGTTTTATTAAAAATATTGTATATTATGCTACACGTCCTACTACTAGGGATGACATGAAATTAAGAATTACAAACGCGTTTGCTTTAATAACTCCTGCTGTTAAATAATGTAAGTAAATCATTCGAATATAGAATCGCTTGTTGTGTTGCACAAGATGGCAAGCAATTCATTATTCATTTTGTATTATTTTGTATTATTTGTTTTATTAAAATTCTTTCTGTTTTGTTATGTATTTATTATTTTCAAAAAAAGAGTGTGTCCTCGTAAGCACGTAAGAAGATATAGGTACATCTTATTATTATTATTATTATGAATTCAACCAAATACATATATTTTACAGTTTTATTTTTATTTAAATATTAAACTTATTTTAATACATAAAATAATACAAAAAATTAAACATAACGTTAATATCTACGTCATTTTTGAAAACTGTAACCTTTGCGTAGTTGCCTTTCACTTGATGAATCGTAGAAAATCTAAAAAACATCAGATTTTCAACAATTTTTTTTATTTTCTTTTCATCATATTTTAATACTAATTATCCTATTCCCAACGAATACAAATCCAAAGACATAAAAATTTTAATTTTTTTACAAAAATGTATTAACAACTACACTGGTTTCGTTTATAACAATATGTCAATACGATGGGTTTTAAAAATCGAAAGTAACAATAATTATAAATACTTGAAATCAATTTCCGTTTAATAAAATTTTAAATTACGACAAAACTATTAGTCCTAGTTATAGCACATCCGTATATCATTCAAAAAAAAAAATTTGATTTAACAATTCATTAATATACAGGGTATTCCATTTAAAATAAGCCTTATATTGCATTGAATAATCCAATAATGAAACTACAAATTTTGAACACCCTGTAAATAAATGTTTAATAATTAATCATGAAATACATTCGACCAATATCTAGCTATTTAGAAGTATGAGTAATTTTATTAGAATTGTTTCAATAAATTAAGAATGAGTCCTCGTTTAAAGTTTTACATTTTAAGAAAATTCGCCAAAACTCAGAACACTCTGTACATAGGTATAGGGAAGTCTAGGGATAGTTTGCAGACAATTAGAAAAGGCAATAAAATACAGAGTGTTCCATAAGAAAAAATATAACTTTGAAACGCCGCGCTTTATTGTGACACCTTGTATATTTTAGAATCATTTTAAAATGTAGCCTTTATCAACCTACATACTATACATTTAAACATTTTTCAAAATCTTTTATTGTTTCGCTGTAATCTTCCGTCCCGTTAGTGGTGACTCACCCTATATATATATATATATATATATATATATATATATATATATATATATATATATATATATATATATATATATATATCTTAAATATTTTTGGTTTAGCAAATAGAGGTTTTGCTATTGCTTTTCTACAGAAATACATGTATTCGTTGCGAATATATCGAGCGCAGCCTAAATTTACGAAAAAGAATACAAGCATTTATACATCAGATAAAAAGATATTTAATTGGACCTCGAATGATTTTCTGATTACTTACAATTGTGGCTTAGTGCCTTTTGGAATATCCAACGTCTGACCGTCTTTAACTAGTTCCAAAACCTGAGCGTTACTTTTTCCTTGGAATGGGAAATTACCGAACGTTATTATCTCGTAGAGTAGTACCCCAAAACTCCATATATCCGAAGATGGGGTAAATACACCGAGAGCTAAACTTTCAGGAGACATCCATCTTACAGGTAACATTCCCCTTCTGTAAATTAGAGATAAAACAAATCATAAGTACCGAACTAAATTTATTTTTAATAATAATAAGACTTTAATAATAATTATATTTATAAATATGACTTTCTGGGGTAATTACATTATTTAGAAAATGTATATCTTACAAGATATGTTGAAAATATTCCATAACGACAGGAGGCTTTTTTACTATCGAAGTTGTCTGTAACCTTGTCTGCCATATCTTATATCGTTTTTGAACCAGGAGATTTATGTAAGTATCCCTTTGTTTTCATTTTGTAGATACCCCAATCCGACCCATTTATTTCAACTTATCCACGACCCAGCTCTTCAATAACCCCCTGAGTGTCGTACGCATCAGTTTCGATTATTTTGTTTGCCCAATCTTCTACTCCCATGTTCTTACCCTGAGGTAAGCAAAATATATCGTTATAAAGTTAGTGTGCAGAATTTTCCTTCCATCAAGATCTATGTACCAAACATTTCGAGGATTAAATGTACAAAAAATTCTTCTACTTAGGGTGCCTGTCCGTTCCGAACGTTGGCGATCATTCTGGCTATGATGACTTTGTTGGTTGCTATACGGAATAGCTGTGTTGAGGTCTTTCTATACCATACTCTCAGGTTAGCAAGCCAGGATATTCTTCTCCGTCCTGGGGCCCTTTTTTCTTCAATTTTACCTTGCACAGTGCATTATAGTAGCTCGTATCTGCCTTGATTTTTCATTATATGTCCCAAATACTGAATCTTACGGCCCTTCACGATGTTTACATAATCCGCGGTTTTGTTCATCTTTCGCAGTACTTCTTCATTGGTGACTTTGTCTGTCTATGGTATCTTCAGGATCCTTCTGTATAACCATAACTCAAAAGCCTGAAGTTTTGATAGTTTCCGCCTTCAGCGTCCACGTTTCTACTCAGTACAGAAGCACTGACTACACGTAACATTTAAGGAGCCTTATTTTTGTTTCTAGGGTAAGGTCATGGCTCTTGAACACAGAGCTTATAGTCAAAAATGCACTTCTTGCCTTTCCGATGCGACATTTAATCTCTTGGGTATTGTCCGATGACTCATTGTACAAAAGTTGTACAATGTTGTCCCAAGTAGTTGTACAAATAGATAACTTAGAATACAATATAATTATATTATAATTATAGTAAAATAAACATATTCGTCAATGTGCCAACTGAAAATCTCTCGATTAACCGATCGAGATCGAGGTTACTATAATACATGCTGCCTATTTAGTTTTATTCCTAATCTTGATGAACTAATATAAACTCAGTATCTTTCCGTCAATTTGTTCTAGTTTTTTGTAATGCTCCTTACCAAGTTGATTTTATTATAATTTTATTTACATAATAATTTCGTAACATAGCCTCGCTAAAATCCAGAAATTTACCTAACTCTCGTTTTTTATCTGTGGCCAATTTAGTGTTAAAACAACAACTCAATATTATCAGAATTTTTGAAGATAGTGTATTTTGCATACCTTATACTAAAACTTGGTAATCAACAGAAAGTTTGTAGTCCTCATAAAGTTTGCAAAATATATTTTTAGGACCTTCGAAACTGGTTTAAAAAGAAAAGTTTCCGCTTTAGGTACCTATGGTACGGCAGGAGCAAATAAACCGTAGTTATCACTGCTACGTTATTAGATACACCAGACTCAGATGAAGGTGAAGTGCAATCTGAGGACGATCAGGCATCAAACTCTGACTTTGAAGATGACATTTATTCATCATCAGATTGTTTAAAATGAAAATTGATCTCACAGGGAGAGATAAATGATTTGGTGAGATATACGGATTTTCCCAAAGATGGTTCTTAGACCCCGACTTAACTGTAAATATCTGGTTCAGATATCGTATCATATGATAACATGAGAAAGAGACATGAGCACTTCGCCATGATTCTTTAAAAACTTAACATCGTTGATAAATGTGCGATGATTTGAAGAACTTGTGTATGCTGCTTGGGCAACAAACTGGTTTCACCAAATTTCCTTAGTTTTTATGTCTATGAGACACTTGAGACAGAAAAAAAACGTTTTTAAAAGTCAAACGTTTTTGTTATGTGGAGAGGGCAATACACTTATTTGATAAATCGTAGCATTTTTGAGAGATTATCAATATAGCTTCGGGACTAGTTTGGAATGCAGTCTATTATAAATTTTAACCCCAACAACAACTATAGCGTAATAATTCAGTAGCTATCAATAAAACTATATTTTACTCTACTACTCCAACACAATAATTCAACAATAAAGATCGAACGAATTATTTAAATAACTTGAAAATCCCAATAATGCAGAGTGTAGTAGTGCAGAGCGCTTTGATGTTAATAAAAATTGCGAATAAATAAAATACCTAGCTAGTAATCATTTCGAGGTCTTACCTGGTAAACTTGTAATAGTCATTATCAAACATTGCTCTGGTCATACCAAAATCGCCAATCTTCACAGAACGTTGGGCATTTACTAAACAATTTCTCGAAGCGATATCTCTATGAACGAATTTCATCTCCGCCAAATAACTCAGTCCTCTTGCTACATCCAAAGACATATTAGTCAAACGCTTTGGACTTACTTCCTCAGACTCCTCAATATCAGACTTAACCAAGTGTCTACGAGCCAAAAGATACGTTTTGAGATCGCCGTACAGCATAAATTCCATAATGGTATAGACAGGTTCCTCTTTGGTGCAAACTCCCAAGAGTTTAACGATATTTTTATGGTCGAAACGTTTCATTGCTTCTGCTTCCGAAAGAAAGTCAAGTTTTTCTTCTGTAGTAGATCCTACTTTAAGCGTTTTCACTGCGGCTGCTGTCCAGGTGCCGTTGTTGTCTACTGATACTTCACCTCCATAGACAGTACCGAAAGCTCCTTCTCCCAGTTTTCTGTTGATGACTACGCATTCCCTGCGTATCTCCCATTTGTCGAGGTCGCTGGTATTGTGCATGTCAAATGGAATACCCAGAGATCTAAAACCAAATGAAGTTTTATTAAAAAAATCGTAAAACCTTTGATAAATAATATATTCCGCAACATATTTGATTGTTACCTCATATAGTTCTTCGTTTTCTCAACCTTCAAAGCATATTTTCTCTTCATGTAGAAGACTACAACGACTACAATTATGAGCAGAACAGCAACTAAAAAGATGTTCAAAATAATCGCAGCAGTCTGACAAGTAACGTTGAACGCTCTCGCCAATCCTTCCAAAGCGCAAGTAGGAGGGGGTAGTGTGCCATCTTCTGGTACCGCTCCGTTTTCCGTATACCATTTAATGAGCGGCTCGTAAAGGGTTAGATTACCACCATTAATTTCGGCTCTGTTGTGAGTAACGTTAGGATTGAAACTGCCTACGATATGTTGGCTCTCGTTGTACCATTGGACGATGTTTATAGTGGAGAAACGGGATGGACCTCCTCTAAATTTGATGTGGCCAGATACACCGTTAAAGTCTAATTTTTGAATGTATTGTACTAATTTGCTAAAAAAAAAATTAATATAAAACGCAAAATTCTAAATGAATTATTCTTGCTAATGCTATTATTATTCGAATATAAAAGGTGGAGCAAAAGTGATCACCCCATGTTATGCTGTAATTTTTTTAATGAAAAACTTTGGTTCTGTTTGCGAAATTTGCTTAACTAATCTATTAGAATTGATTCCATTAAGTCAAGAAAATGATATGATAACTGCCACTGCCATTGCTTCTGTAGTGATCCTTTCCCAAGTTAATATGCTCCTTTTCTAACTTAACTGCACCGTACTGAAGACGACCAATAGTCAGAAATACGTATATAGGGTTGCCTACCATCGATATACCATTTTTGGTTTTTTGTTTTGCGAGACATGCCATTACTTTTTACTTTTATTATTCACTCGCATTATCCTTTTCCATTTGTTTTAAACGTTTGGCATTCCTTTCCCCAGGTAGCTGTAGCTTCCTCCGTGGTTAGTGTTGGTTGTTGCCCTGGAAACCATCAGGGTTTCCAGGGCTTCTAACTCTAATGCCACAAATTGGTTGCATTGCTCCTGTAGTGATCCTTTCCCAAGTTAATAAGCTCCTTTTCTAACTTGGCTGCACCGCACTGAAGAGGCTGCACCAATAGTCAGAAATACGTATATACGGTTGCCTTCCATCGATATATATATATATATATATATATATATATATATATATATATATATATATACATATAAATATATATATATATATATATATATATATATATATATATATATATATATATAATATAAAATTAATGTTTCTTGGGTTTAGGTTCAATAAAGATATGTTACATGTAAAACTAGATTTTATTTTCCATTGCAATCAATCAACGTTTCGGCAGAAAACCCTTGCCTTTGTCAAGATTCTAAAATGTGTATATATATAAGGACAAACAGATATTGTAAAATATGTATATATGACTTACCAAAACGTAAAACGTGTCACAGACATTAACGAACTGACATATAAAAGTTGATATCTGATATCGCATTGTTTACTGTCATTAGTATATAATTATTTTTATATGGGCGTATCGTTGATTTTTTCGAAAAAGGTAAGGTGGAGATATGTTATGACTTTAAAAGCTTTTTATGATGTTATATTATTATTTTTTAAATCACATTGAAATATATTTTATTTAGGTTTTGTATATATTTTTTGTCATTTATTGCTTGGTGTTTCTTTTTATTTCTATTGATTCGTATATCTCCCTCTTCTTTTTATTTTTTTCTGTTTTTAAAATTCTGATGTTTTCAAAATCAAATTTATGCTTCTTCCCGCTTTCATGTTTTGTGAGCACAGTGACATTGACTGCTTCAATCCAGAATTCGTTCTCACAAATACGACAAGAACAACGTAACATATCTTTATTGAACCTAAACCCAAAAAACATTAATTTTATATTAAATATAATACGGTTCAAGAAACTCAAAACTACTATATGTATATATATATATATATATATATATATATATATATATATATATATATATATATATATATTGCTATGATGTTTTGTTTGTGTATGAGCAATGAGTGTTTTTATCGCGGTTCTCAAAGACTTAGTTTGTAAGTACTTTTAAAGTAAGTACTTTTTTAAATTCATCATCATCATTTAACCCGGATCTATCCACTGCTGGATATAGGTTTCCCTCAGTCTTTTCCATGTATTTCTGTTTTGTGCTGTTTGCATCCAATTTTTGTCGATTCGTTTATGTCATCAGACCATCTTATTGGTGGACGACCTCTACTTCGATGTGCTTCTTGTCTCGTCTCCACTGTATTATTCGCTGTGTCCATCTGTTATCCGACATTCTAGCTATGTGCCCCGCCCAGTTCCACTTAAGGGTCATAATTCTTTCTATGGCATCTGTCACTCCTGTTCTCCGTCTTATTTCCTTGTTCGTGATCAGATCCCTACGAGAAATGCCTAACATCGATCGTTCCATGGCTCTTTGGGTAACACAAATTTTATTTCTTACTTTCTTGGTTAGTGTTAATGTCTCTGCACCATATGTAAGTACTGGCAACACGCACTGATTAAAGACTTTTCTTTTAAGACACATAGGCAGTTCTGATTTAAGAACATAGCTCAGCTTGCCGAATGCCACCCAAGTGAGTCCTATGCGGCGGTTTAGTTCGCACGTTTGATTATCTCTTCCTAGGCGTATCTTATGTCCTAAGTACTTATAAGAGGTGGTTTCTTCAATATGCATGTCATTGACTGAAATCTTTTCGCTTAACACAAGATTTGTCATGATTTGTGTTTTTGTGTGGTTGATTTTTAATACAACTTGTAGGGAGGCTAGGTATAGTTTCTCCAGTTGCGATACTTCATCATCGATTCTGTCAGCAAAAAGGACAATATCGTCAGCAACCCTCAAATGACTAAGCATTTCTCCATTGACATTAATTCCTTTTTCATCAGATTTGCGTTCTTAAACATATGCTCTAATAATGTTCTAAACAATTTTGGCGAAATTGTGTCTCCCTGTCGCACTCCCCGTTTTATTTTAAATACGTTAGTTTTTTTATCTGCCAGTTTCACGCTTGCTGTCCCATTTTGATAGATGTATTTTATCATGTTTATATAGCGATGATCTATACGGCACTCTGTTAAGGCTTTTAACATCTTTTGATGACTTATTGTGTCGAAAGCTTTTTCATAGTCAACAAATATCATGACTAATGGCTTGTTATATTCAACACTCTTTTCTATTAAGTTCTTAATTACTTGTAAATGATCATTCGTGCCATATTCTGCTCTAAAACCTGCTTGCTCTCTTGGCTGATAGAAATCCAACTTACTTCCTAGCCTGTTGGTAATAACTCTTGTAAATAGCCTATATACTTGTGACAACAAGCTAATGGGGCGGTAGTTTCTAAGGTCGCTGATATCTCCCTTCTTATGAAGTAAGATGATTTCCGCATTGTTCCACTGCGTCGGTGTTATCGCTTGGCACAGACATTTATTGAACAGTTTAGCAAGTGTCAGTAAGAGCTTATTTCCTCCTAGTTTTAGGCTTTTTGTCATTACCCTATATTCACCTGGGGATTTATTGTTCTTCATCATTCGAAATGCATTTTTAATTTCGTCAACAGTTATGTTCGGCATTAATTGTGAGCCTTGATTCTCTATCTTTGGTAAGGGGCGACTTTCATCGGATTCACTTGTTTCATAGAGTTGTCTGTAGAAGTCTTTCACTGTTTTCACTATTTCTTCCTTATCAGTCACAATGTCGTCTTGTTTATTTCTTAACTTATGTATGTTCTTTTTTCCTGTGGACATGTTGTGTAGCGATATGTAGGTACCCATAGTACCACTTTTAAAAACAACGAGGTACGCTAGTTAATCGACGACGGTTTCTCACGCGACACAGAGCAAAATTGGCGCAATTAGGTCACTTATGTTGTTGAGAAAACGGAAACTGAGATGTGGACTGCGGACAACCTGCAAGATGACGTAGACCAATTGATAATTCACGCGAACACAGGGGAGAGTAGCGAAAGCGAATCCGACTTCTCGGACGTAGAGGACGACTTTAGTATAATTAATTGAATATATGTGAGTAACCTCGATTATTTTACACTGTATAACCAATAAAATGCATTTACGAGTCCAATCAGAGTATGGGCTTTTCGGATATTGGGCTGGGTGCACGGAAATCGAGTTCCCGGAGGTTCCACCCTGTATATTTATAGCTATTAAGAAATGTAATTTAAAATATATTTGTTAGTTTAATAAAGTATAAATATAATATAATGTTACATAACTTACACTATAAACCTTATACCTGCTCATCTGGTCGTGTGGGCAAGGAAAACCATTATCCCATATGGAATAACACAAGGTTTCGCTGAAAACTACCAGGTTGCTATGCCAAGGAACTAGGTAAACTTATGTTGTGTGTAAAAAATGCGAGACTGCATTATGTTTTAATAAGGACAAAAACTGCACTTCAGATTTCCACAAAAAAAATTTTTATAGTAGGTGTTAAAATTTCGCAGTGATTCAAGGGCGCAACTTGTTTTTTTAATAACATCGCCGGGATTAAAAAATGTGCAAAGCTTTTTCGATATTCCCGTTCCTGATAATTTTTCACATATTTACAAAAGAAAAAGTTTTTCTTGGATATTGGGCCGGGTGCACGGAAATCGAGTTACCGGAGGTTCCACCCGGTATATTTATAGCTATCAAGAAATGTAATTTAAAATACATTTGTTAGTTTAATAAAGTATACAGTTTTATAATAAAATTCTCGCTAAAAACTTAAGGTCTTTTTATTAAAATTCATGCCTCTTATTTGGCTAATTGAACGCAATTATTTTATCAATATATTATTTTGAAATAAATAACAGAGCCCGGCGCGGCGTAAAGATCTGGGTACGGTTCTGTGACTACCACTTGGACCTGTTTGTATCGCCAAGCACAAGGCGTGAAATCCGGCAATTGTGCATTCCTATATTACCCGTACTGCACTCTTAGTGTGACATTTTCTATAGTCCAGCGTAAACAGCACACCATGCAGTAACTTTGAGCTAGTGAAGGCTCTTCGTAAGTGACACACCTAACCGCTAAGATGGAAATGAGCCTCACATGTCATAATAATTTTCAATGAAAAATCGTCCTTCTCTTCGTTAAGATTCAAGATCCCTCGAGGTAGGTTAGACGCGTTTGATCTAACAGCTAACAGCTGATGCACTGCCTGCACTTACTTTGTAAGGAAACATCTTCAAATCATTTACCAAATTTCTGCGTAGGAATCAGCTATATTCTTAGCTACGGCTACTCCGGGGCCGGCCAGTCTTGGAAGCGTCTCGTATTGTTCCAGTCTCTTTAAGGCAAGTGGCCAAATGTCTTACCAGAAGGTGTGGGACGGCCAGGAAATCTGCGACGAAATCCGTCTCACCGACGCATTGTTGCACAAAAGAATGAACACAATTCTTTTCTGTGTAAGCTTTCTTAAGCGGTTTTTGTATTTTGCCGGAAATTAAGTCAACTTTTATACAGGTATTAAATAAATAAACGTTGCTCGATTTTTCCAGTTTTTACGATTCCCATGAGATCACTAAAATTTATCAACTTCATGGACCGGTCGTAGTGGAATTTCTATATGGACATTTTTTATTTAAAACATTTTTTTATACGGCGTATATAATATATTCTAGGTAAATCAATTTTTTCCGTTTTCACCCACTACAAGGATACGTTTTAGGGGGAATCCGGAGGGAAAAAGTGGTAAAGTTGTTTTCATTTTTTTGGAATCCCGTTCGTATGATTTTTAGAGGTTCAGTTGCATTTTCGTCTCTGACGCCTGGAGTAAATAGGGTGATTACTTTTGCTCTACCTAATATACAACGAACATAAATTTAATCCAAATTTCACTACTAAATTATGAATTATGTTATATGTCAACAACGATGATAAAACGTAGATCTACTTTTGATTTTGAATCAGTTCAGTCCAAGTAAAAAACAGCGATTACTTACGATGTAGTTGTTCCCGAATGCATGTCTGACAAAGCTTCTGGATCTTCTTTAACCAATTGGTTTAATGCCATTGCATATGTCCAAACGGCATCGTATGCAAATCCTGCGTAGTCGGAATCCAGAATCTGAGGTTTAGTTTTAGCCACGCTCTGTTTCCATTGCCCTACAGTCTTATTTTCTTGCATTATGGAATCGTTAGAAGCGTAGAATGCATGGGTTAAGGAAAAGTAACCATTTGCTGCCTAAAAATAATATATTTGTTACAAGGCCTTATTAATAATCATTCATTCATTTCTGTGTAATAAAAACAGATGAAATGCTGAAAAATGTTTATTATTAAATACACATAATTTACAATATAATAAGAAAATAGTGTAGATGATTCTGTAAATCTTTAAAGCCACTGTTTGTTTTTGAAAGTTTTAAGCACCAACGTTCAGTAAAAAAATAAAACATAAAAA